TATACCAGTCCGAAAAGTCATGTACCACTCTATGTTCTTTAGCAACGGAGTTAACAGTTAATTTTTCAACCTCCAGCAAATTTAAATAGCATCCAAAATCCTCCTTTTTGGAATGTAAGGAAATAGATGGTACTTTACATTTGTTGGATCGATTGTAACTCCTGATTGTAGCAACCCCAAAACGAATGGCACTTCAGAATACAGTACAGTATACCAAAACTTCTCTCAAATTTTATATCCTATCGCGTTGTTTGTGTTATAAGTTAACTTCATTTATTTATTTTTTATTTTATTTTTCTTAAGCGTACAGGTTTGGAATATTTTAAATCCTTAAGTTAAATTATTTAAATTAAAGCTTACTTTTTATTTTCAATGAAAAATAAATGCGATCGTTAATATCGATCTTGGTACAATGTAAACCTGTAATCATATGACTACATATACAGAATTTTACTATATTATAGGCCTAGACTAGGACCAGGCCTCCTACTAATAGTATAGAGGCCTAGTCCAAGACCTTGTTGCAAATCCCAGCCCACATAAGCCTAACCTATAATGCCAAGCATAGGGCTCGTGATCGCGGTACCCTGACCATTCAAAATTAGCAGACGCACTGGGAAGCGTTGTTCACGGCATTGGACTGCAGCGGAACAGAGATTCAACATCAATAGATACAAATCGGTAACCTAAATTATGTAAATTGTTTAGAATAGCTTTACTGCGGTCAGCAGCATCAAAAGTCTCTTTAAGGACAAAATAATTATCCGTTAGAGGGCCTAATATGTTTGATAAGAACATAGCTACTGAATAATAACAAGTACCGGTCGTGTCAATAATAGGTCTTAGGGGTGGAATATTATCAAAATCTTTATGTAATTTAGGTAGTCCATGGGCTCTAGCAGGCATGGTTGATACTGGACGAATTTCTTTGTATTCAGTTTCAGTTAGTTCATTTCCATTAAGTGTCCGGAGGTAGGCTTGTAAGGAGTTAAGCTGCGTGGTTAATGAACAGTTAGATAGTTTCTTAAACTTAGTTGAATCAGAGAACAAGTTCGTCATAGATGTGATATAATCAGTTTTCTTCATTATCGCAACACCATTTCCTTTATCAGGTATAAGAATAACGATAAAAAAGCTAAAAAGCGATTGTTCATATAGAAAACAAAAGAAATACAGTAAGAGATTTTTTTTATAGGACGATTCCATAACGATACGATAACAACATGTTTTAACAAATCAAATCAGATGAAGTCATGATCATGGAAAAACGATAAAATATTGCTATACTACTACGATTTTAATGTTTTCCATGATTATGACGTCATCTGATTTGATTTGTCAATTAAATATGTTGTTCATATCGCAACTGATCATCGTTCTAGTGTAAAAACTTCTCTTATTTCTTTTATTTTCTATGAACAATTGCTTTATCATTACAAATGTGATTCGGAATAAAATACTGGGATTCGGCAAATTGGATACCAGATAGACTTAGTATGAATGAAAACAAGGCCGCCGACCAATGAAGAACCATACTTAACCCTGTTGTGTATGCTATCTACGGATTAAATCGTATTTATATACGGGAAAATTGTCAACAAACCACTCTGACCTTCGTTGGAGGGTTTGAAAATTTTATGCATTTATTTTATTTAAAAAATCATTAATATTATAATTATATTCTTTATATTATTTTTAAAATATTTATATATTCATTTGATATTTTATTAAAATTAAAACTCAAAATGTGTGGTTAAATATTAAATTTAATTATAATTTTGTTTTAAAGTTTGATTTTTCTACAGAATATCAAACAAAGATGGCTGCGCCCATAAATGATGCAAGTGTTGTGTTGAAAGAAAACTCGTATGCTGATGGAATAGAAAGTGTTTATATTAAACATATCGGTTGTGGAAAAGTACGTACTATTTCTATTGCGGCGGAATGGTTGTCGATGTGTTGAATCTTAAAAATCGATGCAGCTGAGCCATAGCCTTTCTAGCCTACTTTACTAGCTAGGCTAGGCCTAGGCCTAGCCTCATAGCCTAGGCCTAGGAGGACTCGGCTAGGTAACGCTAGACCCCCAACAGCCCTCCTCTCCTACCTAGGTCTAGGCCTAGCCTAGGCCCATTGTAATTTATATTAGGCTTATTATATGCGCGGATGATACCTAAAAATAGTTAAAATTTGCGCAGAAAATTGTTAGGAAAGTAGTAGGTGCACAGAATCGTATGTAACTAGGCCTAGAGTAGGCCTGGCCCTAGGCTAGCCTAGGCCTAGCTAGTACTCCTGGCCTAGGGCCTACGTAGTAGGCCTGCATAAAAATACATAATTCGCCGTGGCTAGAGATATGGTACCGTGTTTTTACTTCAATTTGCTAAAGGTACGGTAAATGGCATTACGTCACTATCACCCAGTTGAAGAGACAGAATGTACGTGACTTCATCTTTAAAGACTGGCATTGCAGATCACCCACGATGAGCAGTGAAATGCTAATGATCTACTGCTGCTGCGTAAATTAGAACATTAAAAAGTACAATGGGCCTAGTGACAGTCCTCTGTCATCGATAAATAGGCGTATATTGTTCTACTTAGAAAGAGTCATGTCATTTATCTAACCATTATCAAACGGGGACTGAATCCTGTACCAAACTCTTGGCATAATGCCACTAAGCCTTGTTTAAATTCTTTGCTTGGCGAAGAACCTAAGTAAGGCCTAGGCCTTGCTTGGATTCTTCGTTTGGCAGCGGCCCTGCTGTATTGACAGATCGATAAGGGTGACATATATCAGACATAAACTTATTCCTCCATGGCCAAGTTCTCAACCCCCAAAATCCCATCCCAAGTTTTAGTCCAAGAAGTCTAGCTTATAATATTTTTGAAATTACCCTGCCTTACAATCTGACCAACATATTCATACACTTTGAATGCACATGCATAACCGATACCTCCTTGATTTATCCAACTTTACGTAGACTTCGTCGCTGTACTTCCATCAATCGTAAACATCGTTCGTTCGGCCAGAATTCAGATTGAGAAAATGAGTTTCCACAATCGTGATTATTATTATTAGTGTCAAATATATTTTGATGCAGGCCCATTTAAACAGTAGTGCTAGTAATCTAAGAATCCTCTTATTTACAGTTTAGAGTACAGTATATCCAGTTTTTTAGTGCATGTGTTGTCATGTAAGTAGATTAGACCAAAGCCTCTCTTATAAGCGAAGGCATTTAAAGCAAGCTGGCCTGGGCCTACGTTAAATGAGGATTTATGCCTTCCTTGATATGGCTATATAGATAAATGACATGACTCTTATTACTGAGTGGAACCCTAGGCTGCGCCTATTTATCGATGACAGTGTTTTAAAAAAATAATATACTCTTAGCTAATTATGTACTAAGCCAAGTACTTATTCGCAAGTCCCACCGCTCACCGCACACCATCTCACACTGTGGGCGATCTGCGATGCCGGTCTTGATAGATGACGTCACGCAAATTCTGGCTCTTCATTGGGTGATGGTGATGTAATGCCATTTGCCGTACCTTTAGCAAATTGAAGTGGAAATACGGTACCGTATCTCTAGCCACTGCGTACATAATTAGGCCTACATAAAGTGTACAAAATTCTTTGCAATCTAGAGATGTAGATCCTCAACATTTTTTTTTACTCTTTCACAAACTGCACAGAGGGCTCATCGGTAGCAGGTCAAACGGTCATAAAATTGGCCTGATTGTCTGTAGGCAAATAAAATATTGCCATGGCCTCTTTTTCTCGCTTTCATCTTTAATCACATTTTTTTTTTTTTTTTTTTACACATCCGAATTGTTTAGCTGCCTGTATTTTAAAATTTTATTTATTTGAATGTTTATACTGATTTTACTGGCCTAAGAGGAAATTGTTGTTTTCTAGACGCCCGAAAATAACCTCTGAAAAAACAAATTCCTATTTTAAAATGGACAATAAAGTGTTCTTGAATCTGGAATCTTTTTATAGGTATTTGACATCCGTCAACTTAAATATAATAGACCTATAGTCATTGTTATTCATATTGCATTATATAATGTTGTTCATGTTTCTTGCATTTGTTTTTATTCATTGACAAATAAGCATCTCATTTTATATAATTATGGAAATGATAAGGAATTTTGAACAATTTATTATCATTTTCACAATACACTGTCTATCATATTATTTAAAAAACTAATTGTGATTTGGTTATTATTTTTTCTAGATATAGCATTCTTAACCTGTGTGATGACTGTACTCTTAATTTTCGCCACCGGGAAAATGCAGCGGCAGATTCAAGGAAGGTCCCAGCTGCCCCCTCTAAATTTTTAAAAGTAAAAAATATAAGAAAAAAAAGAAAATTGTAAACAAATTGAAGTCTTGAGAGTGCTATTTCCAGTAATCTAGAGGTGCCATAATCATAACATTTCATAATCATAACATTTTTCTCTCAGTCCCAATCATGGTGGGCTCAAGTTTGTGGTCTTTAAAAATGTCTTCCTGGACGCAATTTTTTTAAACGTACGGTAGTTTGGTAAAATTTCATGAATTATTCATAATCATCCTTATAGAACATATTTATACTAGAATTAATCTAGCATTCTAGTCATCTAAAGGTAAAACTATAATCTAAAACAAAACTTGAATGCTATAAAAGAGCATTTTAGCTTCCTTGCACCTACCTTATTTAACAGCCTTTCTTTTATACAAAACTATAAATTGTATATTAAAGATGGAGAATTATAGAGTTTATTTTCAAATTATATAATCAATAAATTGTACGTAATTAATGAATTGTATACAAATTTTGATAAATTTATTCTTTCATACACTATATATAATGTGTGTGTGTGTATATAGAGGGCCCCTTAACATCAGCCTCCCTTCGGGAAAGTTGGAATGGCTACATCTTTAGATATTGTTGAAATAAAAAAAATAAAATAAAATTCCCTGCTGGACACCATCCTGGTATTTCTGAGCCTAGCTTTCGGGGCCAGAATATTACTTACGTGGTGAATCAAATCATGATAAAAAGGCCTAAGCTGTTGATACTTAACTACAGTAAAAAATGAAATCATTTCCATATTTTCAATAAGCTGAATGTGCAAGTTACGTTTGATTGCGTCAGAGAAAGTAGAATTTGGTTTCAAACGTTATTGAGTAGTAAATTATTGTTCCGGCCAAAACCGGACCAGCCGGACCGCTTCCGACGCCCTTGATATATTATTTTCCACGCGGACCCTACTACTTTACAATCTGAGTGCTGACTAACCCGTACACAAATCAAACCGTACCGGAACCAGTCAATTCGAGCAGATACCACTTCGAGTGTTCGCATAAGATCCACTTATGCGAACAAGGTGTGCAAGTTATGTACAAATTTCCTATTTTGTTTTGAGCTACTGTAACAATTTCATAGTTGGTTACTCTCTTCTGATTTAAGTTTGTTGTTACTGTACTGTACTGCTAGGGTACCATCCTTTTTTTTTGGGCTGAAACGTGGTTAAACATCAAGGTGTCAATCCGTGCTTGAAAGTGGGATGGAGGCGAACGGGATTCGGCTGAGGCTCAAGCTTTGCCTAGGGAAGAGGCCCGTTGAGTTCCAGGGGGGTCTCAAGGGTGCAAGCTCCTCCAAAAATTACTTAGGTGAAAATTGATGTCATTACTCTACTGTTTATAGTCTTGTCACACTACTACTCCAATGATTTGTGCACCTTCTGAAACTAAATTATATAAATATAATTTAAATGTCTATGGTGAATAACAATTACAATTACAGTTACTCCCATTTGCAAATATAATTATCGTAATTTACAAATACAGTTACAACACTATATAATTCAATTACAAATATAATTTGCTTTTTTAAATACAAAACCCCAACTGGATACAAAAACGGTGAATTCAGAATGAAACGTGAGCAATTCAATAGTTTTGAAATATACGTGCTTGTTAGCGGTGATCTGGTAGTCGTAAAGCCCAATTTAAACTTGGAATAATTATCAAAAGTGCCAAAAACATTTCAGAACTTTAGTGCACAGAGCATTTTTGCATTTAAAACATACAAAAGTATAATTTTGCTCTAAAAATACAAGAATGAAGGTGACGAACAACGATGAAATCATTCCTTTTGGATAAATTTACCCTTGTTATAGTTCGCACTAAATGCATCTGCTTGAACTGGCATCCGATCAAAAATGCATCTGCTTGAACTGGCATCCGATCAAACTGGCATACGCTCGAACTGGCATACGCTCAAAATAGCATTTGCTCGAACTAGCATATGCTCGAATTTAATGGTATTCCCCGTACCCATGTAAACCCATACCCAAATTTTGGCAGACCTGTATCCATCTTTGGCTAACCCGTACCCACGTCATTTGGCAAACTGGTACCCAAAAAATGGGGAGCTCGTAACTGGCCAATGTTATGATAAATGTTTAAATACAGACCTGTATTGTATTTATTTTTAATATCGCTCGTAATCTAATAATGTACAGTATGTATGTACCGTATTGTTGGGTTATCTTTTATGGTATTTTACTTACCACTCATTCTGCCTCCTGGCATGTAAATTTTAGCCTGATTTATATTTTGTTTATTTGTTTACCTATCATTATTATTATTAATAATAGAAGTTGGACATGTGTGATTGAATTTGAAACCAAAAATGATCATAATAAAATAACTTTGCATGTTGCAATTTATTTTATTTTATAGTCAGTCTAACGGGCCTAGGCCTAGTATTAGGTGTAGGGTCGTTTTGGCTTTGAGTCAAGGGAAGCATTTATTTTTGTTGGTGTAAAATGGATACAAAACGACCCCTAATTTCACTGTAAATGTGGAACTACAATGCATAATTACCATCAGAATGTTTTTCGTGATCCATGAAGATTTATTGATCCCAACCAGGTTAGAAAAAAAAAAATTCATCTGATACTGTGCATAACTTCTATTAATAGAGTTTACTCTCATAACTCTGTTGGTATGCATCAATCCTCGCAGATGTGTTAACATACAGTAGTAGAACATTAATAAAATGTGTTGAGTATGATGTTGCTTCCATTAAATTCATCATTTAAGGGGGTTTATTTGAGGAAAAGAAATAAAGCCTGTGGCCAATTATTGCACAATAAGCCTCATATCACATGCTAGTAAGATTCTGCTTAAGATCATCATCAGCAGAATTAAAAGGAAATACCAAATGGAAATGGCAGAACAACAATCTGGCTTTGTGGAAGGAAAAGGAACACGAGAACAGCTCAGTAACATGATGAACATTATTGAAGTGTCGTGGGCACAACATACCTCTATATGTTTGCTTCATAGATTATGCAAAGGCATTCGACTGCGTTAGTCACCATCAGTTGTGGATTGCACTGAAGAAGATGGGGTTTCCTGAACACATTATCGAGCTTGCCCGGCATTTATATGACGATCAAGAGTCTCCTGTAAGAACAGCAGATGGATTAACAGAATGGTTCAAGATCGGAAGAGGAGTAAGACAAGGTTGTATCATGTCTCCAGTTCTGTATAACATCTATGCTGAGGCCATAATGCACAAAGCATTGGAAGGATATTGTGGAGGGATTTCTATCGGAGGCATTGAGGTATCAAATTTGAGGTTTGCTGATGACACCACTCTAATCCAAAGAGGAGCTGATGGATCTTCTCAAACGTGTAAAAACCTGACCTGGTCCAAAATCGACCCGGATTTGGCCTACTAGGCCTAGGATATATGTAAAACCGATGTCCACATCCAAAAGTATTTTGTTTGTGCAGAGGATACCTTGAAAACTAACTTACAAGTTTGGATAAAATTTAAAAACAATAAAGTTGTCATGTCTAATATTGTTAATACTATTTATAATTTTTTGGCTAATTTGTTTCAGAAAATATAGAGAAAAAAATGTACAATAATTGAAATTACAGATTCAATCATGACAGTTTCTGGCTTCAATGTACAAAAAAGCCTACTTACTTAACACATTGACTGTGTAATAGAAAAATGTTGGTGATACAATTAATTTCTTCCCTAGACTAATTTAGGTTAAAAATAAAATTATAATTGGATATTGTGTGTAAACAAATTTATTGAAGGTATAGATTATACTGGTAAAAATAAATTAAAGGATAAAAAAAACCAATTTTCAGCTGTGTTTTTGGTAACTGTTGACTTACCGTATGTTGTCTAAAAATAATTGTAGTGATGCCCTTAGTTACACTTTGTAATTAGAGTACACCTTGCCAATGGCTAAATAATTTTATTCAAAATTTAGCCAAATATATAATAGATTAAAGGCTCATTGGTTTTTGTGTCTACTGCCCCCAACAGGGGCATAGATACTATGTCATGATGTAGCAATTAAAGATGGCGGAAAGGGTAAGTCCGGTTTAGGTATGATGGGTACTACTACCACGAGGTAGGGGGCTCTCTATTGACAATTGAATAACATTCACAACTTTAACAAAATTGGGTTCGAAACTCAAACATGCATTATAGAGACGCAGCATGCGTTCGCCACGAACGCCTTTTACCGTCATTTGAAGGACGCCCTCCAGAACATGGTAGTACTCTTCGTGATTAACGACATACTGTAAGGTGGTAACTCCCAAAGTTACTCATTTTTAAAGTGTTTTTAGTGTAGGCCTATACAGAATATTGTTATGAAAAAAAATGTTCATGAAAAATCCAGATACACTACAATAATACACACATCTGCATATTGAAGAACATAAGATAAGGCAGTAGACACATGCTCCCGCTGGGAGCCTATTTTTGATTTTGCTGATCCAATTTCTGTTACAGGTGTTACAATATTTTTGGTTCTGTGCTTATTTATGTTGTACCGTAAGATAACTTTTAAGTTAAAAATATTTTAAAAGTCCTGGGGTAAACATTAGCTCCACCTATATCACACATCTTGAGCTTGATAGAACAATATTTTTGTAGGTACAGTACAAATTTGATATTATAGAACTTCTATTCAATCATTTTTTTGTAATAATATTGGTGTACAAAATAGTGTATTATGTAATGTAGTTCCATTTATATAGCACTTCACAGAGAAGTCTCAAAGCGCCTGAGGCGTGCTACCTGGCAAACCGTTACCAGCTACTCTTGTCTGTCCACAACAGGGCTGTATATGGTCCAGTATACCGGGCTAACCCCCTACTTGTTCTTTTAAGGGGCCTACGGTTTATAGTCCTTATCTGAGAACACTTGTTCCACCGCCAAAACCATTTAAACCACCGCCGATATTATGGCTGTAGGTTACGGCGCTCAGCCATCCAATACTGTCCATAGATGTTCTCACTTTATAATTATTACTTGGCACTCAGGCCAAGTTCTGTCCTATTAACATACTGTACAATAGCATAACATTTCCCATTACCATCTTATTGGCTACAGTAGCATTGTGTTGGGACATACTGCTAGTTACTTCAAATCAAATAAATTATTAGTTTAACAAATCATTTAATGATATTTTTTTCCCCTAAGGGACGAGGATTATTTGCTTCACATCATCTCAGCAGAGGCAGTGTTTTATTTAAAGAGGCTCCACTAGTTTCATCTCAATTTCTTTGGAATGAATTTTACAAGTATAAGGCATGTGAATTTTGCATGAAGGCTTTGGAGACAGCCGAGGTGAATGCTAAGCGTTTGTCTGGGAATCCATCACTTGTACTACCACACCCAGAATGCTGTGAAGTCAATCCACACAACCACGTTGAATGTCCACAGTGCCTGGTAAGGCTCTTTTCTGCTTAATATTAATAGTACAAATATTAACTGATTGACCGTAGCCTATTTTCCCGAAGGCCTGTGGCCCGAGGGAAGATAGGGTACATTCTCCACATCAACGAGGGGCTATAGATTTCACTGTTCCCCAAATCTAGAGCAGTAAATATTTGTTTTATATATCCCTACGAGACCTAAAAAAGTGATGAAAATAGTACACACCATGTAGGCTTAGGCTTACTTCCTATGTCTAGGCGATCAAAGGGCCAATCTCTCTCAGCGTCTTAGTGGTAACGTCTTTTTTACAGTTCATGTGTGTCATGAATTACATAGCAAAGTGGCCTAGAGGTTGCACATCGTGTGGAGGGCATAAAAGTACTATCCCATAGGGAGTACTTTCTATTGCCTGCTTCTTAACTGATCAGCTGCCTAGAGTCTATGTTTAAGGTATATAATTTTACTTATAGAGCTTTACAGTACACCAGAGTCTCAAAGTGCTCAAAGCTTGGACCAGCTTGTGATTTTTCTTCTCCCCTGGGACTGTTCATGTCTAGGCTACCCAGTAAACTTGTGACAGCTACTCTCGTCTATCCTCAATGGGGGCTATCTGGACCATTGCACCTGGGTTACCACCTACTCGTCTCGAAAGATGTACTGGGTTCTGTATAGTGCACATGAGTCAATTGTATGGGCCTACAGTTTATAGTCCTTATCTTAGAAGACTTGTTCCACCTCAAGAACCATTGGCTATTCTGCCGTTCAAACCAGTGCCAAGATTAGGGCTATAGTTTGCTGCTCAGCCATTCAACTTTACCATGTTTGTTAAGTACGGTAAATGTATTTCAAGATAAATTTACTGTGATAAATTTTAAAATTTAAAGAGATCAAATAAGTCAAATTCAAAATGAAACCAGTTCAGGTAGTTTTAATTTTAACTACCAAAATGAAATTTTCATATATATATTATTTATGTTAACTGGCAAAGGGATCATATTCTTTTTCAACTGAATGCTAAAACATACTAAATAAATAAAATCAAATATTGAATATTATTGTTTAATAATATACAACTATTGTATCCTTAATAAGCTGTAGCTAAAGTAATTGTATTTTAATTTTTATCTCAAACCTAAAAACGAAGAAATCCAAATATTTACTTTTATTGCTTATAAGATCAACGCAGATAGTATATGTATATCTTAATGAATTCTAACAATACTTTTTTTTTTTTTCAATTGAAAATAATAATTTACAAGTTACAGGAAATGCCAACTAAGCAATTTAAATGAAGATTGTTGTACTGTTTGTGTTTGAAAAACAGATGTTGTCTTTAACATATTGTGTTTACTTGTCACATAACACTTTAGCATTCTGAATTAAAATCTCTAGATTTTGTTTACTGTCTTAGGTAGCGTACTGCAGTAAAGAATGCAGAACACAGGCATGGGAACAGTACCACCAGGTACTGTGTGTCAGCCAGCATCCTCCAGACCCTGAACATCCTTTAGTGATGCTACAAGAAATATGGAGGTAGTGTGTGAGGCTCATGCAAGTTATTAAATTTATTAACAATTGGGACTTGCCATGTCAAAACCAGTATCAGTGAAAAATCAAGAAAATTGACTTTTTAATACCGGTATCCCTCCAATTGACCACTTTTGTGACCATGGGGTTTCCATGGTTTAGCAGCTTTGGTCTCTAATTAGAATAATAAAGAAAGGCATTTGTTAATATGTTATTATCATATATATGATAAGTGGTCTTTAATTGGAGGGGTCTTTAATTAGAGGGAGACCTATATATTCATTATCTTGACATTGTAAGCTTTAAAATGATAGGTTATTTACTGGAATCAACTTATTATTGCTAAAGTTAGTAAGTATTATATCTTCTCTGTACAGTACAATACAAGAGTAAGAGACAAGAGTACAATACTGCCATATTCTTATGCAAATTACTCAGTTTAATTTTTAGGGACTATGCTAGTTTTGGGATGGCATGTCTCAATTATTATAAGTTATTATGTTGCTGAGATTAATAACTGTAGTTCAGATAACCACATCAGGCAATCTAGAGCACACACTATGCTTACAAAATCGGTTTTTCACAATTATAAAATGTTTTCTATTTTAAATTTTATTTATAGGAATATGCATTTTCCCCCAGAAACAACTAGTATTATGCTCCTTGCTAAGATGATTGCTAGTATAAAACAGGTGAGTTTAACAAATCTGTTTAAAACTCTTGGTATCAAGTCAAAAAAGAACAATAAAAGGCAATTAACCTGGAAAGCTGACCACTGACTACACCCAGCCGTCTTCGGCCGATGCGATTCTATGAAGTACACATCACAACGACACGCACAGTGGATCCTTTTTAATGACAATCAGTAGTTCTTGGCATCTAGAAAAAAAAATTTCCCGACCACGCCCCCCCCCTTCTGAACTTTGAATGGTGCGCCTGCTACTTTTCAGCCAGATTCAGCCTCCTACTTTCAAAACTTTTGAAATCCCTGTATTGCTACCTAAAGTGCATGTTTTTTAAAAGTAAGTTAAAATTATATCAGCAACATAAACAATTTATTTAATTGAAACATACTAATGTGAATGTCAATCACTTTGAAATAGGATTTCAAATTTCATCCATTTAACTGTGCAGTGTGTTTTAATCTTTTTACAGGCAAAAGACAAAGAAAAAGTAATAAAAAAATTTAATAATTTCTGCCGAGCCACAGTCAATGAAGAGAGAGAATTAGTGCATAAATTAATGGGTCAACGTTTCCAAGACCAGTTCGACACGTTACTAGGTGTCTTCACATCAGCTTTGCAGGAAGACACTGTGGCTCAGGTAAGTTCAGCCATTGTAGAAGCATGTGGCACAGAGTGTAAGGCGTTGGACTTTCAATCGGAAGTTTGGGGGCTTGAGACCAATGTTTGTCACACTGCTTGTGTCCTTGGGCAAGACACTTTATCTGCACTTGCCTCTCTTCACCTGGGTGAAGAGAGGCCTGGGTACTTGGCAGTGTTGGCTCTAGGATATAATTTATTGCGGGAGGGCTAAGATGTCCGACTGGGGTGGCCCATGGGTGTAACTATAGCCCGCAGTGTTATTTTAGGGCCGAAGGCCTGAGCCAGGGGTGGATATGGGAGGGGGTGTCCCCTCCCAAAACTAGATTTAAAAAAAAATTGAGACTGCTAGATGGCCGTCAATTGTTGATTCACCATTGTTATGTTCTGCTTGACTGATCAGACCCAGACAAAGCGATTGCTGAGACAGATTTGGCTTGATGTAGGCAGTACAGTACTGGGATAGGAAAACTAGGCCTATTTTTTATTTTGGGTCCGACTGCCCGACGAGATTTGGGCGATGGGGGGGCTTGACCAGACCGATGGGGGGGGGCCTTAAGCCCCCTGCCCCCTCGCTGGTGGTGCCGCCCCTGGTACCTTGGTAGGGGTGCATGATTCAGAATGAAATTAGTAGTGCTGATTACAAACATAACTAGGAATACTCCCCAGGGAGTGGAGGAGTTTGCATGTTGATTGATTCTGTGTCAAATGACCAGGGGAGTTGAAAGCACCTTGAACAGTTGTACCAAAATTGGATATGTGTGCTGCATAAATCTTGTAAAAAAAAATTTTTTAAAAGAATAAATAATTGAGCACCATGGAGGTGTATTGTGCTTAGTGTAACCATGGCGGCATCTCCATGGTGTAATTTGTAGCAAAGCGTATAAAATAGGTGCGACTCCAGTGTTTCTTTGAAATGCAATCCTATCTGAAAAATTACTACCACAAACTAGAGGGTGTTCTTCAAAAGAAAGTGTTCGTGTTGAACACGTGCTGTGTATATAGAACGCATGTTTGAGTTTTGAACGCTATTCAAATTCTAATAGGGCGCACCCTATCATGTGGTAGTAATTTGTTTTTTATTTCATTTTTTGCAGTTTAAAATTTAGATACACAAACACAGTAATTAATAAACATACAAAAAGTGGAATCATTAAAAAAACAGAAATGAATAGCCAATGTTATATTAAAATTATTTAAATTTTAATTAGTTTTGTTACTAAACATTTGAATCAGGTATTAATAGAAAGAAGTTTAGGGGGTTTTTATAATGAAAATATTTCATGGAAATTATTGCATGGCTCAACAAGCATTAAATTGAATCTACTCAAGTTAATTCATTTTAATTAACAAACCCATTTCAATAAAGGTCCCATGCTTTATTGAAATATCTTATTTTAAATTTGCTCAATTTTACATAAAGCAGGGGTCCCAAGTCTCCCACAAACAAGCAAGGTCTCCCAGCAAATAACCAATCTTCTGCAAATTCATAACATTCAGCAGTTTTACTACCTTACTTTCAATTGTCTCAGAATTCAGTGCCAGTGGGAATCACCAATCGCACCAAAATGAAATTAAATTAGTTAAGAAAGCACATTTCCAGATTTCTTCCAACTTAGGACCGCTGCATAAAGTTTATGATTAGCTGACCACAATCATTATTTCATACATAAAACTACAAAAATAGCGAACAACTGAAACTTTAAATGATCTGTTTTATCTCACTATTGCAGTGGTTTACACCAGAAGGCATTCGATCCTTGTTTGCTCTAGTAGGAACCAACGGACAAGGAGTGGGTACTAGGTAATGTTTTTATTCTTGATATCATTTATTAATATTTTTGTGTTTATTGTTGTTGTTTATTATTGTTATTGATTGTTACTATGGCTCTAATAGGAGGATTGACTGTGTCTGGACACTATGGGGTATTAGACTATTCAATACCATTTTTAAGCACTCTGTGTAAAGGTAAAGGTAGGAGAATAACCCATAACTTGCAGCATCATTGTGCTGAATTGCGTATGGATGTGATCCATGACTACCTAGCAGCTGTAAAGAGGCAATTATAGTAGTTACATGTTTACATCATTCCACAATGACATGGGTTGAAATGAACCATAACATCGGGGTAACCTCTACTCTTCCTAAGGATGCAATGAGTTCTTAAAAGTGCACACAAACCAGATGTACTGTATACACTGGCCCTCAATTTTGAGTCCTTATTCGAGAAGACTTGGTTCTACCAACCGAACCCTGGGCGAGGAGCAGCTGGAACCAGCGTCGATGTTAAGGCTGTAGCTAGCTGCACCCCTGCCTTACTGCTCAGCCACTCGTCTCGCCCAATTTAGACTCTGATTCTATTTATATGGATCAGTGATTAATTATCTTGAATAAAAGATGCCATACCCCATCAGTCTGCGACCAAATTTAAAAGACATCCCAATCCACCATTGTTAGTATTAATATTGTTACAAAGTTCCCAAAAGAAGACAATTTAGTGATATTAAAGGCTTCAATTCAATCAATTTTAGAAACTCATAATCAGGGAGGGGTGAAGCGCTGACCCCCTCGGTGCTCACTGGTGCCCCCATTTTTGAAGCTGCAAATCTTAACCACCATTCTTAAGTAGCATTTCATAAGTAATTTAACATGATTTATGATCTTATTTGCAGTTCACTGAGTGTTTATGTGAGGAACTGTGACAACCTGACACTTGAAGAAGATGAAGCACAAGCACTGGATAGTTATATTGATCAACTGTATGTTGATATTGAGAAAGGTAACAGTTTATTGAAGGTAAAGGAAAATAATGTATGACTTTCAGCGTCATTGTGCTGAATTGTATATTGTCGTGGTCTGTGACTACTGTTGCAGCCGTAAAAAGACCTTATGTTGATGAGACTGAAATAAACCATAGCATCGGTGTGATTCTTCTGAAAGATGCAGTGGGTTTTAAAAGTGCACACAAGCCAGATATGAAACTTGACCTCATGTAAGTTCTTATCTGTGAACACTTTGTTTTACCAACCGAACCCTGGATGAGGAGCGTCTCGAGCCAGCGCCAATATTAAGGCTGTAGTAAGTGGTGCTCGTGCCTTACTACTCGGCCACTTGACTTGGGTTTATTGTTATTTCATTTTTTCAAACTTAATAGTCCAACATGAAATCACTGAAAGTCTTTGCACAAGTAATTAAAAAATAAAATGTATTTTTAGAGATAAAAATACTAGATAATCACAAAAAATAATCAATGGCATATGTAAAAATATTATTTTTTACAAGATATAGTAAAAGGTTATAGAGGCATATAAAACCTTGAAATAGATTTATTTCTTTTCTCAATATGCGTGTGTAAGCACCCATCATTGGATGGGAATTCCCATGTATTGAAATAATTAAAAGGTACATGTCAATGCAGGGAATTAGCCAATCAGATGCGGTTGGCGTAACGGTTGTGGCTCGGACTCTCAACCTTGAGGTCAGAGGTTCGAAACCCTCGCTGTGCAAGTCGCTTGTGTCCTTAGGCAAGACACTTTATCTACGTTTGTCTCTCTCCACCCAGGTGTATAAATGGGTACCAGCATATGCTGGGAAGGTAAAACAGACTGCAGTGCGGGAGGAGTGGCGAATTCCCCACAGCCTTGCACAGTCTGGCCCAAATGCTAAAGTAAGAGAGGTTTCAAACCTTTAGCCAATCAGAACTGCTTCACAAATCTTGACTCCACCTCAACCACTCTCCTCCTCAAAATCAAAAAACCTTTGCATGTTCTGTGGGAGAAATTTTCCCATAACAAGCAATTATTTTATGTTAAATTATGTATGTCTTTGAATTTGTTTCATTCCTTAACTCTTAAGCTTTGTCTATACTGTACTATCCACACTATCAAATTTTCTTTGACAAAAAAATGTGACAAGCCCATATAGTAATGCTATACCTATATATGGTCATGGTGTGATGTCATCATGCCCATATATGGGCATATCACACTTTTTTGTCACACAAAATTTGATAGTGTAGACAGAGCTTTACATATAATCTGATTTTACTTTATTGGTGATCCGCTACACTAGCGGATCACCTCTTGTTATTGTCAGGATCATCATCATCATCTTTTTTTTCTTATTCTTCTTTCTTTCTCCCCTTTTTTGTTCGCACGATATCTAAAAAAATGCCTCGAGTTACCGCACAATCGCTGTCAACGGACATTTGGCTTGGTCTGGAATAGTCATGGTAAGCTTTTCAACGCGCTCAGTCATGCGTGACGTCATCTACGCGCAATTTTGCGTTTTTACATTATCGATCATATCAGCCTAACTAATTGCCATTTCGAAATCGTATTAAGTGAGCATTAACTTTGGGTTAATGTTGAATGTACAGTACCCTAATTTTACGCGTGCGCTTATTATCGCGCGCGCACGCGTGCGTCAAAATTTCGAAATGCTTAAAATCACTTTTTAATTTGCACTAAGTGCTCAACTCGGCGAGATAAGCACTTTTGTGCTAAAAGTGACAATGTTAAAAAGTTGAGTCAAAATGTAATTTTTTGTTAGGGACGGTGAGATAGCCGGAAACAAACACTATTCCATTGAAAGTTTGAAGTTTTTCAGAAAAGTACTCGAAATAAGGCGGAAAGTCAAAAATGTGCACTAAGTGCTCAACTCGGCGAGATAAGCACTTTTGTGCAAAAAGTGACAGTGTTAAAAATTTAAGTTAGGATGTAATTTTTTTTTGTTAGGCAAGGTCAGAAAGCTTCATATACACACTATCTGTCTCTTATACACTAGATCATATTGGCTGATCGGACATTGTGACGTCATCATATTACCATTTGAATTAAGAAAAAATTGAATTTTAATTTATTTCGTTATTACTTTATATACTCCTTTAAACGTACTCGCTTATCTTGATTGATTGTCTCCCACCTGTGAGTATGTTATAGCTAAATCAATTCTCTTTCGGACGTGTCCCTTTATTTTTTATTTTGATGTCGTCACCATGGTCAAAAAGAATGCTTTTTTGGAGCCTTCTCATCTTTCTTCCTTAAAACATATAAACACATTGAAAATAGAGGGCGGCAGACTGTATTTCGACACTATCAGACCGATAGTTCGTATACTGTAAAGTGCAAAATTCGTGTGGCATTACCAACCAACAGGGGGTTTTAAATTAAACTTGACAAGGTTTAAATTCATGTGCCATTACCGTCGTCAGGCACGTCGTATAAGGTATTCGTACTTGTGCGTTAAAATTTTTAAATTGTTAATATCACTTTTCAGATAATTTAAAGCACGTTTCAGGTCATTTAGAATATTCCAAAACTTTCCAAAATTTACGCGCCGTACGCTCATTTCCACGCCCACAGCACGTAGTGAAGCTGGAAATTACGTTTCGGGTACATGTGTTGGGTTTCTGACACTGTATTAATACTACCGTGCGCACGGACGTTCAGAGGTATGTGTACACATTCGTAAGTCCTTAAAATGCTCAAAATTACTCTTTATCTTTAAAATTCCTTTTAGAATGCTCAAAATTACTCTTTAAATAGAGCATGTTTTAGAATATTATACTTTTCAATCAGAAACGCGCATGCTTCGTGAGGGTCAAAGTACGGCGGATCACCTAACTCGTCCTCAGTGACGAGTTCAAATCTAGTCTTTATTCATACTGTGGTTTTTTTTAAAGTTATGCTCGATTTCATGGCATGTTTTAAGCATGGATTTCTTAGTATATAAGAGATTGCCTGCTTGAAATACATTATTGACAACTGATGATGGTAGAAGCACACTACCGAAACATGCCTTGGGCCGTTAAGGCCATTAAATAAATATGGGGTTCGCCTATAATTTAACTAAGAATTGTGTTGTTTTTCAAAATGATTAGCTGTCTGCTGTTATGTCATTAATTCAATACAATTTGGATTTAATTACTACTACTGTTTGTTTTCCACAGAATCTGGTACATTTTTGAATTGTGAGGGATCAGCCCTTTACTCTCTCCAGAGTTGTTGTAAGTGCATATCAGTGAAATCTTTAAAAATTGCTGTTGCATGCTGTTGATTATAGTATATATCTTATGATGTAATATATTTAGATTTATATAGTATTTCATACCAAAGTCTCAAAGCATGGACTAGCTTGTACTATTTTGTGTCTGAGCTACCCGGTAAACTGGTACCAGCTATTCTGGTCTATCCACAGCAGGTGCTGTATAGACCATTTGTCTGAATGCAGATTTGTATTGATATTGTATTATAACACTGTTTATAGTTACAATTTGCTGGTAGTTGAAGCATTATTACAATGCTTTTTTTTTTAAATTAAAGGTAATCATAGCTGTGATCCAAATGCTGAGGTACAGTTTCTGGAGAATAATTCAGTGTTGAGTTTAGTTGCCCTCAAAGATATTTCAGAGGGCGAGGTGAGTATAGGTTTTAACATTCTGTGGAAAGTTGTGGTATTTACATTAGTAAATACTTCAATTCTTTAAAATGTGGTTTCAAGGTGAGCAAAATCAGTAAGATCAGTCTTAGGTCAGCTAATGGAATGCTCACAAAAGAATGAATCATATCATATTATTTCAACCATTAACAGATACAACTAAGAATTATTATCAATGAGAAGTTCTATAATTTTCCTCTTCCTCTAGTGGGGCCAAAAATACTATATACTTTTGTTTTAATTGTAGGAAATTACCATATGCTATCTTGATGAATGTTCAAGGCAAAGGAGTCGACATTCAAGACAGAACATCCTAAAGTAAGCAGCAATATTTCAGATGATTTTGATATGTGATAATATTCGCTCATAAATCTAAATTTTTGTTTAAAAAACAGAGGAGCCAACTGATCTCAGCACATCTTCTAGCCTTTATTAGATTTGAAATTGGTGCCCAAGATTAAACGCCTAAATCACTGATAGTATGACTTGGTGAATTAAAATTGGTGACAACAGGGAAGCCCTTTTGATGGTCTGTAATTTGTTGTGGTAGTCTGAGTTTACATTCGGTTTCGCCTACATGGCCGTTACTACATTTAGTTCAAAATAGTAGTGTGCTGTGACCAACTGGTCGGATACCCCCTGGTGCCCAGCTATCTCTCTAAAATATCTATAACCTCCAGCATATAAAAAGGAATCTCTGCAGTACTGTACTCCTTATTCCAAATCTTAGCTGTCACTGCATACTAGCTGTCACTGCATACTAGCTTAAGGTAGTTAGGGACTTCCTGGGTACGACATTAAACTCCATCCAGTCGAAGCGTCGGCGACTAAACTGAGAACCCTCTCAAATATGTCTTAGTGGCTGCTGAGGGGAGGGTGTTTATGGTCACCCAGCAGCAAGAAAAACCAATAGCTGAACAAAGGGCGGGTGAGCTCCTCGGAGTCAACGGCCAACCGTTAATTAGTTTAAGGAATAGTTTAGTATAATAGTTTAATATTTATTTTTTTTTTATATATATTTTTAATAATATAATAGTTTAGTCTCATTGTTATTGTTATTATGATTATTTTTATTTTATTTTATTGTTATTTGCTTTTTCTCAGTTGGCCTATATTATTTCTCTGTAAAGCGCATAGGGGCAATGTGCTCTATGCGCTATATAAATATAACATTATTACTAATGTCCCAGTTGATATTGTTTTGTCAGTAAAAATACAAACTCATGTTCTTTCATTTTGTTTAATTTTTCCATCATAGATCAAACTATCTGTTCGTTTGTGATTGCTCTAAGTGCCAACAACAATGTGATGACCCAGATCAGACAAGTAGTGAAGAGGAAGAATCATTGATGGACGAAGAAGTCGGATTGAGTTATTGACATCGTTTACAACCCATCAAACTTAGGGCAAATCACCCTGAAAAAATCTTTAAAATTAATAAATGTGATTATTATGATCAGGTTGCCTGCTTTTAGTCACTACTATGAGTATATTGTTTCCTTACATTTTTAACCCTAACTCACCAAAAATTGTTTAAAACTTTATTTGATAAGGAGTTTTGTTAACACCTTGGTTATTCTGTACCATCTTTAGATTCAGAATAACTTTTTTTGGAAATTGAAAGTGTACATTTATGTCACACCAAAAATTATCATCAAATTACCCAAGCCCTTTAGTTAGATGGTTTACTTCTCGACAGAAAATTTTAAACAATCCGACTATGGAGCGGCTATAATGCAATCACACAGGTCCACTGTTTTCAGCCTTTTCCGATACTTTAACTTGAGATATGAACCACATATTTGATCGCGTTTAAGACGATTTTTTGTATGCCGGGCGTATTTTAGTAGTAAATTTGCCTGTTACGGATGATCCGAACTTAATTTTAAAAAATGTGTATAATGCTGATGTCTTTTATAAAAAAAACATTATGAATGGCTCCAGGAATTTATTCGCACGGTTAATGTCAATCCTTAAGAGTTGGTAGCGATTTTGTGGAAACCCAGCTTTACTCGCATGCATCAGGTTTCGGTTGTTAGCATTCTTCTGATCGATTAAATAGTTTTACATAAAAACATGTCCTCGCAAACTTTTTGAAAATAAGAATATCCACAACATTTATAGCTAGGAATATAAAAAGTATAGTATTTATTCAATTCACAAAATAGAAGCTAAGCCCCATTATCACATCATGATTTAGGAAAGTAGATAAATTCAAATATATATATATAACTGCTTTTGAAAGAAGGGGAAAAAATTATTTAGAAAAACACTTCTACCAAATGCATCTAGACAAAAGAAAACTACTGTAATGTATAAAATGTATTTCTGTGGATAAAATAATTACATATTTCTATTAGGATATTTCATATCAACAACAATGTGTGTGGTTACAGGCCGTAAGCAAAACATGGTGTGCATAAAAATCTAAATATATTTTTTTCTAAAGAAGCAATGATTGTATACCATTACTGTGACACAAGCATGTACTTATATTTAAAAGTTTTTCAATAAGCAATGACAATAAACTAAATCTTTGAACAAAAATTCTAAATTTCCTTATTCACATATATAACATTTTTGTCTGAATACTTTCATTGTTTGACTCTTGACCTAAAATGGGTATGTCAACAAATATTAGGCGCAAGCATTACAATAATCAACCTAGTTCTCAATTTTGGTGTCGCAGATGATCGCATTGTGAGGATACTTCTGTGAACTTGCTCCAAAATGACAGAGAAAATGGATTTGTTAGTAGACATGCTGTGGAAACGCATTTTTAATTTGCAGGTGGTAATCACCTGGATGCAATTTTCCCAAAGTGCTGCAGCACATCCAGGCCAAACTTGGAATGCTGCAGTAATTAATTATGAATATGGCCCATATTTCTCGACTGTGATGCGATTCAGAGTGGTTCATGTGACATTATAGATTTCACTAGGTGTTTCCCAGAGTCACTTTGCACTGACAACAGCTTCCTACAGCCATAAACAAATAACCACATTGCTTTTCCTTTTTCTCTTCTGTATCTTATCTTCGGAAGCAGTTTGGTTTGCCAACCTCAAAGTTGGGATTTCAATTCTACCCTCAGGCTGTGCACTTCGCTTATGTCCTTGAGCAAGGCACTTTATCTGCATTGCTTTTCCCCACCTACAAGTATAAATGGGTACCTCTTACGGTTGTCTGCTACTGTGTCAATATGGCAGCAACACTTAACCTAAAGGATATATAAATACTTAATCGTTTCCATTAAAATTGTCCCATACACAACTAAATACTACATCTGCCATTATGCACTGCTGCACAAGCTCACCCAATTTCCACTGCCTCTGGGTAGGTCACAGAATAGATTAACCATGTTCAATAGCTCCAAATGATGATACAAAACAATCAAAACTACCCTTACAGAGGCTGAGAGTAATATCAAGAATACACATTAATGATGCACAATGGATTAATGATAGATAAAAAGGTTTGGACACTAGTCAGGCTGTTGTTAAATTATAACTAAAGCAGAATTCCTACAGTACAGTACTGAACATGAGCTTAATATTTATCTTCTACAAAATTAACAATAAATAATGTAAAATGTATTGCAATAATATAATTAAACATATAACAAATTTTTTTCGGTACACCATGTGTAAATAAAATAATATGGTTTTTATTAAGGTTAAAAAAAAAAAGGTAAAATATATCAATATAATTGATGAAATGTGCTACAAAGTTTTTAAAATATTTTACAGTGGACTCATTGCCTTTATAGCTCAAAGATGCACAAGGAATGTTCTTTAAACTTGAATTGCATAATTTGTTTACAATAAAACTAACTACTGTACAATACATTCATTGCAACATCCGTTTACATTTTGCTTTATGGAGGGGATTCCACCAAAGGCTATGTTTGCTTTATTTCAATTTTTCAGTTCAGAGAGTAGTAGAAAGATAGAAAAAGCTTGTTGAAAGTGTAAATGCCCACTGATCTAACAGATAGCAAATTTGGATTACACAACATCTGATTTTCAACATTTCTATTTATACCTCCATGTTCATACTGACATGTGCCTACAGTGCTGGTAGTACCGACAGATAGATGTACACTCAGTTTTTAATTAAATTTGAGAGTTTTTCATTATGCTCTCTGCTACCTTTAGTCATCAGTAAATGTCTGTGTAATCCAAACATACAATCATAGCATGACAACGGTTAGTCTTATAATAGCCTTAAATTACCAATACTGAACTCTAAAAAAACATTGTATCCATGGAAACAGAATTGGTTGGTAACTCTATTTGACAAAACCGTGCCACAACTTATACACAGGTAAAATGGTGATACACAAACAGCAGCATCCCAGTAATTCTGAAAAACAAAAAAAAATTTGGCCTACTTCACTTAGTACAAACGTTTTAGTTCTACTGTAGCTGTGTGTGTGTCAAGTTTAGCTAATATTGTATTACTGTGTCAATGTTAGGTATACTTCACATTTCAATCAGAGTGTGATAAGCCATTACAGTATTTAAATTTTAAAGACAGACTCCAAGAGGGGAAAACATTGTTGATATGTTATACAAATTATTATTCTGACATTGAAAGGGTGTCTGATGAAATAATTGGGAACAGATATGAATATCTGAAAATTGCTTTTAATTTTCAAAACTTCTTTGAATACCCATTTCCCCCTGCATGTATGGTGTTATATCCAATTCACAACAGAAAATCTACAGATATACCTGTTCCAATATTTGCCTCCAAGATCTGATTTAGAAAAAGCAGTAGTAATGTAGCAGTAATAGTAATGTATCACTGACAACAACAATGCTGAAAATCACCTGTTGTTTGATAGCTTTACTATTAATGGTTACACCACGCCATGACACTTAACCTATTTGGCATGTGCAGTTAAAAGTAGCAAAAGTTCCAAAATTGCTAATATATCTCGGAAACTTTACATGCCTCCTTAAGGTTTGTTTTTTACCGAGATATAGAGTTAGAAGGATATGCATTCCGACAACCAAAATATACTTGCTTGGAAAAATTGATTAATATTTAGTACATTTCTGTTAGAATATTTAGTTTGTATAGCATACCAACAGAGTGGAGTTGAATAGCTTGGTGGTTAAGATGCTTCCAGGGTCCTGAGTTCAATTCCTGTCATGGTAACAGGATTTTTTCTCATAACCACAACAACTCACTCCATATTATGTTTATCTTGGGACGGAATATGCCACTTAGAATTGGCATATCCAATTAATTCAACACAAAAAAAAAAAAATTTTGAAGCTTGGCTTTAAATTAAAATAAATGTACCAGTTAAATTGAGATACCGTATGAATTATGAAAATGATAAACAAAAACCAATATTCATCTAAAAATCTGTCATTTTGTAACTAACACAATAAACTAAAACCATCAATTTCTAATCACTACGAATCAGTGACGTACCTAGAAGACTTTGCTTGAGGGAAATTAAAGCATTAAGAGGTGTTTTTTAACTACTTGAGTACTGCAAGTTATTTGCTGAGAAAATTTCCTGTGGTAAGGTCATTTAGGGGTGCAATCACTTTTAGGGTCACCCTCAGCCCCCTAGGTACGCCAAAGCTGTGAATCCACATCCACCGATCTGGTATTTCTAGTACTGTATTCAACAGCTATCCAGAATGTATGGACCCATTAATCACCCTAGTGTGCATGCAGATGTAAAAACATTTGTATGGCTTGCCAATTCAATCAAATTATCCAAAATAGGGCAAAATTGAAGTGTAAATTTGCTGATAATTAAAAAAATTATTTATGTACTACTGTACTAGGTTCATTTATGAAATAAAATAACGTTAGAAAGAAAACATATATTTAGAGAAACAAGGATATAAATGTGCATGGAAATTGAGTACACTAATTGGTTCCTCAGCAATTGCAGTAAATAAAAAATCAATTAGTAAAATGTTCATGCAAAATTGCCCTCTTTTTTTCTTAACAGCAGTACATTGAATTAAGCAGTCAATCCAATCAACAGGCAAGCAGTTAATTAAAAAATTCAAAACAAAAACAGTTTTTAGTGATTACCATGGTGCCAAAAGCTGAACCTTTCAGAAGATGTTTATTTACTTTTATTCTTGTTGCTGTCCTTTTGGTAGAGCTCATTAGTCTTGATGTACTGAATAACACTCTCGGGAACAAGGTAGCGTATACTCTCATTCCGACTAAGAGCTCGTCTGTGAAGATCACACAGAAAAATGTTACTAGTCAAGGGGATCAGAAGTTTTCGCAAGCTTACATGAAATTTCCCCTACAGTAGTATATCTGTCACAACTTAGCCATTTATGCCTTTTGAATGAATCAAGGATTATATTCAGCTCGTTCAGCATAATTGTCAAGAATATTTAAGCACAACTGATGATAATGATAATGAAATATTCGTATTCGTGATTATTTTCATAAATTTGCAAAATCTACCTAATATTGTCAATTAAATAATGGTGATCAAAGGTTAGATATAATAGTATGAAATAATTTCATTTCAGAATAGACAATAAAATGTGAAATCCGAACAACTTAATTCCAAAATTGCATTTCAACTCTCTGTATAATTGTCACTTTCTGTATCAACACTGGGCCAAGACAGAAGTAACGTCGTTAAAACTCTATCTTCCCCTACATATTCTACCTTATCCTTGTTGAGCTTATTTCATTGTAGATCCATTCTGTCACTATTTGAATATTTTTCTGCAAAGAAAAAACAAATAAATTCATTCAAACACACAAAAGTAATTAGGCTTATCATTAATTTACCAATCATGGATATCATACAATATGCAAAAACAAGAGATACAGTATTTAGTTATATATTTATCTTTTCTATACACATGTAGATCATGTTTTTCATGGTATATAAATGGATCTAGACAAAACTCCCAAGGGATTTTGCATGACAAATGTCCAATAAACATAGGTTATTCATCAATTCAAAGAACATACATTTAGTTTTATTAAGTGATGATTAAGTAACACTTTAGGAAACTAACTATCTACATACATCCATCATTCTACGCTAAATCTGATTTGTAATAATGGACCAAGGATTGATTGCCATGGGACACCACTTACTATGGGAGAAGGGTTAGAGTTGCTATCTTGTTTATTGTTTGGGAGATAAGAGCAGAACCACCTATTATAGTGATCTCCTTAATAGGCCAACACATTGAAAAAGTTATCCACTGCAGTTTCAAGATAAACAGAAATGAAATCCTCCTTAGGCTCAAGACATACAGCTTTAGCATATCTTTGTTATGACCTAAATAAGAACTTTGATAGTGATCTGTGCATTAGGTCATACCATGCTGTTTTTAATGTGGCAGCTAAGAACATGGCAAGTCGAGTGGCAGAGCAGTAAGGTAGGGGCACCGCTAACTACAGCCTTAACATCGGCGCTGGTTCCAGCCAAGTCTTCTTGGATGACTTAAAATTGAGGTCCAGTGTACATATCTGGCTTAAGAGTAGTAGGGGTTACCCCGATGCTATGGTTCATTTCAACCCCTTCGTTGTGGAATGATGTAAATATTTAGCTACTAGAAGCACCTCTTTACGGAGGCTGAGGTAGTCACGTACCATGGCCATATCCAATGGGTTATTCTCCCACCTTTACCTTTGCATTTCTATAAACCGGCCACTGAGTCTTCACATTATCCTTATATCCAAAACACTAAACTCAATTCTATTTCATATTCATATTTCACAAAGACTAATACACTCACTGAATTCCTGTAGAGAACATCAGATTCATAGACAAACTTTTGAGGGTTTGATCCTTCACGAGTTATCACCACTATGCCATGTTTGCTCACGATATCCTCAACCTGTTGGTAACATAAACATGCAATAATAAGTTATAAAATTATATGAACAAGTTACATGAGATTGTTTCATAAGCTGGTACTGTGGAAAACTGATAAAAATGTATTTTTAAATATAGCTTATTGAAAATTAAGCACTTACACGATTCTTCGAAATGAGCATTGCAAAATTATTGTATTATTTAGGGGTATTTTTTGGGTGGTGGTATCATTAATTGGTGCTAAAAAATCATCATTAATATGTCTGTTTTCTTTTTAAATTTAATATTTTATTACTAATGTGCATTGTTTTTTTTATAAAGCATTCATGTTGTTATAAACACATGAGACATAATATTTTGAGATACAATATATTGTTGATTACTCACATCTTGGTCAGCCCAAAGTCCTGGAACAGCAAATGACTCCAGGAGATCAGCACCACATAGTAACTTCACTTGCAAATCACTGTCACTCTGATCTTGAGTTGTCTCAACATCTACTGTATTGAAGATTCAATCATTTTATTGTTTCATAAGCTATCAAGAGATGTTATCCACATAACAACTGTAGAAAGGTATCCAATCATGTTTCCATAAATCAATTACATATGAACAGTATAATATTGATTGCCAATTCAATGAAGTACTGAGAATATTGAGCAAGAAAGATGACGATAGGAGGATTGAGCAGTCAAGGGAAAGCATGAAGAACAGGATAGAAAGATTGAGCATAGTCGAATAGCACTGGGTATGGACTGGATTTCATGCTTCTACCAAGGCATCAATTCATAGAAGACTGGTGACGATAGTCTCTGGCAGTGACTTTAGAATGGTTAGACTAGACTAACTCTAACTTAAGATTGATAGAAAGACAGAAATATGATAAATTATGGAAAGTAGAGACAAAGTATAAATAGCCTATCATACTTAATAATATAGTCATGTAACTTTTAAATTATTTGTCATAAATAATTTATGTTTGTGTTAAGCTTGGTTTCCATGAAAATCGCTACATGCTATCGCTGACTCCTTTGGCGTTGCTGATTGGTTAGTTGAATCAGGGAGCATTCTAGATTGCATTGGGACAGCTATGCAGTGCAATGAGTGCAGAAAAAACTGTAGCGATTGTATGGAAACCAAGCTTCAGTATATTATTTTGTAGTAGTAATGCATAACATGACACAAAAGAAAACTAGCAGAAATTATAAAAATGTAAAATAATAATATATCCATGAAATATGACATTATAATTTAAGTTTTTTTAGAAAGGATAACAAATTTCTGCTACATTTGCATGGTATTATGAAAAAACTAAAACAGCAAGAAACAATAGTTTGAGAAAACAAAGAAAAAAGTTTTTGGAAAGAAAATTTGTATGAATTTAAGCAATAATAAATACTGTTAGGGATGTTTGAGCTCTGACAAGAACAAGAGGAAACAATTAAAATTTAATTAAATTGCCATTAGTTTCTTATAAATATTTGTTGTTAAATTACAGAATATTTTAGCTTAAAAACCAACAAAAATTACAGTAAGTAAAACATTCAATTGTCATTCAGAAATTCATTACTCATACCTGTACTCTATTGCTATACTGTATATGCAGGTATGTAGTCCTACAATATTTATACCAAATTGGAATGGCAACAACCTGGTTATTCATACATTTTGGAAATCAGAGTTTATAGCATTTCATTTTTTTTTTAGTGAAAAAAGCAATCATGCAAAATGTGTAACCATCTCAAATACAGGAAGTAAAATCGACCACAGGCATGGACAAAAATGCTGTGCCCCCAACCGTGAAAATCATGATCTATAAAATGCTTCCAGCACCAAATATACACTATACAGGAACAAAAAAATAATTCCTTAAAAATGCCTTGGGAATATGCATGATGCCTCAAACCACCAGTCGCACACTGTTTTTAGCTGTGATTGAATCTACGAGCTATGCTCCCTTGATAAGTTGTATTATAGCAACACATATAGCTGTAATAAATTACACACTGACATATTTGAAATTGATCAGATAATAACAATAACAGCAGCAATAATCAACAATAAAACAACATCAAAATAATAAATAAAGTAAACACAACAATAATAGCAACAATACCAATAACAATTATTAATAATTATGAGAACTGCATATGATATTAATACATCGTTACATACAATATGTAGCCAACATTACACCCTTAATTGAATGAAAGGTAGTACTGTAGTCGGAAAATTTAATTGTATATTAACATGAATTGAGTGTAAATTTATCAATCACACTTTTTTAGGTGTGTGCATAAATAAATCAAAATATACATTTATGACAATCATGCTGAAACTTCAGTTGGTAAACAGCAACAAAAAGAACAGCTGTGAAACATAAGCACATGCAGGTTAAAGGCAGTAATTATGCAGGTTTAGGGAACTCACTATGAAGCGTATTATTGATTGGATGGTGTACAATAAACAGTACCTTGAGAATGTACACAACGTTTCGTTTTAGTCAATGTAGGCATGTTTGTCAACTGGATCGGCTTGTAACGACCTCGTAGCCGTTGTGATGTCCTTGCATTATTTTCCCCATAGTTGATATCTTGTAAGATTGCAGTAATAGAGACAATAATCAACATTAGGAAACTTTACCAATGTTCACAATACAAGAAATATACTTACATGACTATGACAGTTAAATGAAATCACTGTCATGATTATTGTGATTGTCATTCATCACTGTCATTATGTGACAAAAAGAAGAACAATAACTCTGAGTATCAGCTTTTTCATAAACAAAAATGAAGCTCTCCTCACTTTATGGACAATACAGACTCACTTGTATTCACCTAACAAATAGTTTTTCACCAATCAAATCAGCAATGACCTCAGCAATGCCATAAAGGACAGAAAACTGTTGGACATTGTTGTCGAAGACATCTTGGCTACAGCCCAACGAGTGTGTGATATAAAATAATATCTACTTTGGTTATTTGTACTGACCTTGGGAACCTGTGCACTGGTCGTTGTCTTGTCTCCGTCTCTTTACACCTCTCACCTGCACACCTTTACATGCATTATAATTAGCAAGTGCTGCTTTCTGATGATGTGTTAATACCTGTTAAGATGACAACATGAAAATGTTAATAATGTAAATTGTCCCATACTATAAGAAGATACACGATGACTATCTTTATAATCAATGGCAAAACAAGAAGCTAAGAGATACATACTGTGGCTGTTAGATCACTTTAAAAAAAACGATGTTTCAACATATATTCATTAGTTCCGTGGAGGAATTTGGAAATACTTTTATAGTACTTATTTTTACAATTGTGTTATGACCTTTTTGAAAAATTTAATTAACTTTCATAATTGGTTGTGCATGTAAAGAGTACCTTCATTGTTGGATGCCATTGGTTCTGCTCACATTCCCACGAATCAACTGTTATCCAATCAGATGTCTGCAGAGCTAAGCGACACATCTCTAGTCGATGTTTACTTTCAATTAAATCCTAAAAGATAATTTGAAACACATTGTCAAAAATAATCAAAAAGAAAAGTCAAATAATACTGAAACTAAAACCACAATTGCACTGAACTTTAAAAAGGAAAGATTTTACCGAAACCGTGGGTAACATTCCAATGGGTAAATCTTACTGCTGCCCATACATGGATCTTTGGAGTCAGTTAGTTTTGCGAGAGACAGTAAACTAACCAAAACATGAAAAAACTATTGAGGGTGTTGATCCATGACCTTTACTTCTGCGGAAAAAGTTTGAACTCCAGGTCATGGTAATCTTACCCATAGATGATAACACAACAGAGACCAGTGCAGGCCGGAAAGGTCATCCATTGAGTAACGCTTGAATGACTTGTGGTAGTTTAACCGAGACATGCTATTCGCATTGACTTGCACTCTGGTTGATAAAACTGACATTTTTACTGCAAACAATCCACTCAATCAAACTACCCTAATTGTTCATCTTGGTAAACAATCCTGAGCGGCAAGTTTTCTGGGCTGTTCACACAGTACTAGACTAATCAGTGGCGGATCCAGGAATTTGAAATAGAGGTGGCCCAGGGAAGGATTTTGACAGATGGAGGGTCTACACCACCTCAGCCCCACCATGGTTGGGGCAGAGGTTTGAAAATTTATGATTATGACCTCTAGATTGCCGGAATATGCACTCTCAGACTTTTATTATTTGAAAATAAAGTTCTTTTTTTTTTCTCCAATTTTTTACAATTTTGAAACATTTAGGGGGCACGGGCTGGCTGGCCCCTCCCCCCACCCCACTTGCGTCCGCCACTGATAATTATGGTAAAGCTAACCAGCATCTTGGTTAGTCTTAACGAAAAAAATTCAGAGCATTTGCAGCTTAATAATCATATAAAACAAAAGATAATATATTATTAACAAGACAAAAAAAACTAAATAAAATAAGTTTCTTACAATAATCTTTTGCAACTCTCACTTATAAAAAGCATTAAAATAATTATTTATGAACATTAATTGACTAACCAGTCATTGAGATGCAGCGGGGTCATTCCGTGCCAACTCAACAAATTTTCAGGAAATCATGGCTGGGTACCGTCTCAGATTTTTTTGAAACTCGCATATAATGTGCACCAACATGTCTGACGAACAAACCCAAAATTTGACTTGCCAATTCCAAGTCATTTAGAAGTTACAGCCATTTGAAATTTTAGGGTCATACCCCTTTTTAGCTATCAATTATGACATATTTGTAAAGTTGCATTTTCACTTAGCCATATCTTCAAATAGAATAAAGATAATTAACTGAAAATTGATATTTAGACTAACTTTTGGTTGTAGAACAGGAATATGACATGACTTTTGGTATAACGGACCCCGTTACGAAAATATTGGTTCATAAACACCCTAACTTATTTGGTTGCGTAATTTTTCTTCCATTTTTAGACCCCATTAAAATACCCAAATCAGTTATTAAATGGGTCTTATGCAACAAATTATTAATATATAGCTGGAAATGTTTCACCACAAAAAATTGCGGATTTTTAACTTATCATTTTAGTGGGTAATCGTAGGTCAAAAGGTCATTCGGGACAAAAAATGTACAAAAATGTCTCATTTTCATGGGGACCTTTGACCCTGTGGGCAAGTACGCTTGTTGTTAAAACTTGCACCATCAATTAATTTACATATGATGATCAGATGTTCCAAATATCAGCTTGGTGTCTTTATCCCTTCATGTTTAAAAAGCGATTTGAAAAGGGGTATATTTTTCAATTTGCGACAGTATCAGTGCGTAAATGTGATTTGAAATCATCAATATTTGCAGTCGGCGGGTTCGCTATAAACAAAATAAAAACAGTCTTGGCTAATAAACAATACAGTACATGCATGTTCAAACAAGTTCTCAGTAATGTTATTACTTTCTTAGATAAGAAATTTTGCAAACCTTTGTTTACTATATGGCCAGTTTGGTCACTGGTCCCAAAAAAAGCAAAAGTGTACTATAGCTGATTATCAATCAAATAAATTGTGAATTATTGTTAAAGAAAAGTACCTTTTTTCCATATGCATCATTTACAGGTGAAATAATTCCTCCTAAAACTTGGTATTTTCCTGTGCGATGTAAGTAATCTCTTGCAATTTCTAAAAATGAAAAAAGATAGTCAACATTGTAACTCTGTATTATTTATTCCAGTACAGATTCTAGACTTGTACAGATGGTGTATAGCAGTTCCTGATACCAACACACTTCAGCCGAGGGATGTTAAACACCAATAAGAGATCTGTGTCAACATTTTAAAACATTTCTTTTTAACAATAAGAATAAATTGAGATTAATTTCTTCATTTTTGTTTATTAGAGATTCATATAATTTATCAAAAATACAGGTTCACTATGGAGGTCTATCTACTGTAGGTGTTCAAATACCAATCAGAAGACTATTGAAAATACCTTTTTTTTCTTTTAATGGAATCAGTCCATCATAATTCTTTTAGCATTTTGTATTTTCTATTTTTTAAATACAATATTTAATTGAGATAAATTCTATTATACTTATATATTTAAAAAAATACATTAACAACAATTAAAATAAAGCACCAAACAATCTGTGCATAGCCCAACAGTGGTAATCTGAAGCAACATTTTTTAAATGCTAAAAATGCTTCTAAGGACATTCTGATCACAGGTCTCACACTTTTTCTAGCACTGATTGTAGCATGTTTTCCTAACAATCCAGGAGCTTCATTTAGCTAGTTTTCAGGTATGTTAACTTGAGCATCAAAACCTTGTATTTGAGTCTTTTTTACCATAATGTCTTTATACATTGAGCCGAGGTACATGTATGTCATATAATGGTAATTAATTACATGTAATTAATTATTATTTAATAAATATAGGATTGAATTTTACTGAGTTTCACGATTCTTTTTTTGTCCTTGTATGCTTTCAAATGCCTTTATTTTATTGAAATATGTCTAAAACAAAGAAGTTAAAGCAGTTTTTGATCACTCTTCATGAAAAAGGTCACATAATTTCTAATTGTCCATTGGGTTTAAAGGACCAAAATTAGGCATAGTTAATAATTTCTTAAATTCTGCAACTCTGTTGATATTTGATGGAGGATTATAATCATGGTATCAATGTGATGCTACATTAATGCTCTTTCAAATGTAGGCACCACATGATAAATACAAAGTTGAATAAAAAAAAAAAAAAAAAAAACTAATTTTTATAGTATCATAAAAAACTTTATTTGAGAAAAATTGAGCCACTGGTTATGGTTTTATAAGCATTTGAAGTTTCTGAGCGCATGTATTGCAAGTTGCATGTTAACAATAATATTTCTGTCACTTTTTGCCATATATTTCTGTTAATTTGTGTAAATGCTAAAAAATAATGTACATTCTGATTGTAAATTTTTACTGCAAATTACATTGGTTATGTAGCTTTAATACACAACACAAAAATTTATAAATTTTTCAAATGACTTTTGACCCACAATTCCAAAACTGAAATTCAGAAAAAAAAATGAAAATAAATAAATAAATTTAAAGAAATAAATAAATAAAAAAAGTCTTTTTGTGCTTGCAAGCCTTGTCGCATTCTCAGTGTAATTGCATTGTCCAACAAAATGTTGGCGCAATTTGTAACGAGATTTAATGGTGTATAAAATTTCGCTATAAAATACTAAAAACTATACATAAATATAGATATGACAAAATTATTACCAGAATTAATCTGGAAGTAAAACCGCAAGCAACCTGGTATTTCTGAGTCTAAGTTTCAGGGCTGGAAATAATAATTACTAAATTAAGTTACACAAATGAAAAATAAAACTACTACCAGTGGTAATCTAGAAGTTAAACTATCCCCGGACACCATCCCGTTGTTTTTGAATCTAGGTTTCGGGGCTAGAAATAATGATTACTGAATTAGGTTACATACTGTAAATGAAAAATAAAATTACAGCCAGTAAATAGTAATTACTCATGAAAGCGAGTATGACAAATGAGAGCTACAATGAATATTTTTCTACAATTTCCTTAACACCGATTTTTTTTCTATTTTAGGTTTCAATCAACGATAAGATCTCCATAGAAGAAATCTACTGCTACTGTAATCCACAAACCCCCTGATTGTCATCAACAACATCCTCGTCGTACGTTTCACTTTCAAGCGGTTTCCAGTAGTCAATGACATACTGGATTTTTTTCTTGTTAAAAGATTCTACTCGTTGAAAGTACATTACTGTCTTCTTTTCTTCTTCATCATAGAATGTGTAACCAATATTTTCGTCAACCAGTCTACCTTCAATTATGATGTCCATCATTTCCTTCTGTTTGGGAAAATTAGCCGTTGTTCTCTTCCCTTTTTTCAGCCGATTAAAGAATTTTCTGTGGTCCTTTCTGAATTTTCACTTCATACCGATGTCTTATCTCATCCTCAAGTGCCTTTTGAGTCTCTCGCTTGAACACTCTATCCTTGCGTGCAAACTGCCTTGCTTTCGTCATCAATTTCTCATGGTCTTCCTCATTCATATCCATCAGGTAGTTAACAGCATGGTTCTTCCTGGCCCTAATAACGCATGAAATGTAGTCAACAGTTGCATTTGTTTTTAATGCCTTTATTGCTGCAAAGGCGGATCTAAGAGCCGGGCCGGGGGGGTGGAGTGGTGAATAGGGTGGCTAGCCACCCCCCTCGGTGACCTCAAAAAAAAAAAAATGGTCACTCGTCTTGTGTGTGTACTTCTCATGTATACATGTTACATGTAGTAGGCTACTCTCGTAAAACATACACTTTCTATTTTAAGCTTAACAAGTACTACCAGTACCAGTACCAGTAGTGGTGATGTGATGACGATGAATTTTACTATATAAAAGTGTCATTTCCGGTCATCTAGAGCTACTATTTCCGAAAAATGGTTGGACCTGAGGGGGGTGTGGGCTCACATAATGTCTCCTCCCCCTTCACCTTTCGAAACAGATCTGCACCCTTGTCAAAACCACGTCTCCCTCCCACTTCATGCTTTGCAAATCGCATTATCCACCCCCCCATTGCTAAATCCTAGATCCGCCACTGTGCTGAGAACATACCCATAACTTCTTCTGCATAAATGTTATGGACCTTGGCTGACCTTGTTTTTTCCTTTAACTTCTCATCAATATTCAATGAGAAGTAGTTTATTGGCGATTCAGTACTGTAACAGTTTGCTTGAAGCAATCAGACAGTATTGAGGTAAACAAAATCTTGTTGTCTGGCAATGTGCCCAGACAATCCCCTCATAATATTATTATAATAATAATTATTTAAATACAGAAAAACCATGGCCATCTCATTCCCAAAACAGTCAACACTGCCACTGCTGAATATTGCCAATGGATTTCTTTACCAAATCGAATGCAACGAAATGGTGAAGTTCTGATGTTTCATCGTTGTAGAAATATTTCATGCTTGGCCCAGTAATGGCTGAAACAATCACTCATAAAACTTGAAGTTCGACTTTTACCTCTTTCCTGGAAAAGTCCAAATGAACTGCTGATCTGAGTTTAGTTGATTTCAGCTGTTTGTCAGCAAAGAACTTTGTGAAAAACTATTCATGCTCTAGCAAAATTCGAGAAATCGGATGTGTGATATGCATGCGTACACCTCTAAATCTTGGCAGGATATTGTTAGGGAGATTTGCACTCTGCAATCTGGATTGCTGGATGTTTGTTTGCCACTTCTCTTCAACTGCTCTTATTGTTGAATCATTTACAGCACACCTATCCGTCATAGAATTACAGATATTGTTTTGTATATTTTTTTCAACTTCGTCTGAGCTGGACTCGTGCACAAGACTATGAATTTGTGCTAATCGCTTGATTGACCTGGTGATATGACTGGTGTAGTCCATTGCCGTTCCCCCCCGGTAACTTATCAAGCACTACAACTCTTTATCGGAAGTGCTTATGTAGATTTCATTGAATATGAACTCCTTCTTGAGTGGTTGCATTGAAGCCTATAGTGGTGTCATGTGATTTCAATGCATTTTCAGCGACCATCAGGTCACTTACAATGTCAAGTTCTCTTGCAATACACTCAACTGTTGAATTTTGTGGAATGTTGCTTAACTTTGCACCAAACCACCAGCCAACCCTTTCTATCAAAAGAGGCACCCTTTCCGTGGTTACCCCGCAATCCAAGATGAAGTCAACAAGTAACCTTGCCTTACAACCGATGATTTTCCTATCTTCTCTGCAGTCGACATTGTCGTCCTTCATCAGTATATGCGATTCCTCCTGCAGCTGCAAAACTCGATCTTCAATTACTAATTCACTATTCTCGTTTTCTTTTATTTTTCTTTTCAGCTCCTTGTTTTCTTCTGCAATCCTGTGAAACTTCACCTTTGATGGACGGATTTTAATGAAATTTGCAAAAACTGATAACTTTTATATGTTGATCGATTTCAGAAAAATCAAAATGGTATACTACTTCGATTCCTGAAGAAAATGTCTTAACCAGTCAAAAAGCATTTTATATGAATATTTTCTTAAGGCCTTTGTTGACAAAAACATGCTTGGCTGAACTGGGTTAATGAAACTAATTGAAGTGTGTGGTGCCTATCAAATGGTACTAGCTGCAAAGAAATTCCTTGAATTTGAATTTTCTGGTCACGTAGCTATAAAATACCTCTTCCTAAAAAAGGCCAACTTGAGATTCACCCTCAATTGATTTATTAACCTCCCTCACTCAGCACTGCCACAGCATGCTACTAGGCCTACACACCTAGGCTAGCCTAGGCCCATGCCTAGGCTAGCTAGGTAGTTACGAAGAAATGGGCAGGTCCAGGCCTGGTAACAGGTCAAAATGGCAATAAGTCAAAATGGCAATGACCAAAACGACATAAAACCAAAACGGCAACACTTTTAGACGAGAACGGCAATGGACAAAAACGGCAATAAGTCAAAACGGCAAGACCAAAACGGCAATAAGTCAAAACGGCAATAAACCAAAACGGTAACACTTCCAGAATGACACTGTATGGTAATTGGCAAAATGGCTAAATAAAATACTACTTGGCTAAATTATTATTATTAATGCTGTTCTTCTTTCACGTTTTTTACTTCTATGACAATTTAGCCTCATTTTCACCATATTTTTCTGCACTTTCATGCGTATAATTGGTTTTATGTAGTGTCACATTGGAATTAAGTTTTACTTCTTATAGACAACTTTCATAGACCATCCTTGCATCATCTTATATTGTAATATTTTTTTGTCCAGTTTTGTGGAAATTTTATCTGTTTTGTACAATGTTTTGATGATGAGTAATAATAAACTGAACTGATGATACCAAAATAAATATTAAATCAGAATGGTTAATTTGATTTGAGTTGTACTTTTTAATGTTGTTATATTAGTAACAGCAGTTAAAATAAAACTATCAAACCAAGGTAAATACGAGTTAACAGCACCTTAAAGTTCATAAATAAGGTGCGAAATCAAGAGGGGTTTTTAAAGGTACAACGCCCATGGAACGTTACTTTCAATAACCTTTTAAAAAAAGGCGTTTTAAGTAAACTATTGTTGATTCAATGATTCAATTATTATAGACCAGGCTATAATTGAGATAGGTGCCACTTGGAGAGGTAGAAATTCTCATATGGTTTTTCTAGACCAGTTTTTTATGGGGAATCAGAA